CTGTCCCCATGTCACGCGACTCGTACACCCTCTGGCCATTCTCGCAGTCAACAATCATGAGAAGTGATCCCTCCCACTCGGTGATGCGGGGTGAACCGCATTTCGCAGGGGAAACACTGTTTGAGAGCGACCAGGTACTGCCGTTGTCCTTCGAGTAAATAATCATGGAGTAAACGCCATCATTTTTTTCATTCATCGCCATCAGAGAAAACACAATCGTGCCATCCTCCATCAGAACACCTGAGCCACCAGAAGCAATAAACTCCGTCAATTTTCTTCCTTGAGCAGCCAAAGTAGTCCGCTGCACCGGCGATTGAACTTCGCCCCATTTGATCCACTCACTCGGCTCGCTGTCCGCAGAAGGCTTCGTGACCTCACCAACAACCACTTTTAGTTCCAGGCTGCCCTCTTTCCAACTCCCATTTACAGGGGACAAGGCAGTGCTTCCCACAAGAAGAAACACCTTATTGCCCTTCATCGTTGTTGTGGGGTGGTGCACAACATCCAAACTCTCCTTTCCCTCCGCTTTGCCAAGCACGGTGTGTGCACTCCGTGTTCCTTTACCGACCTTTTCAACAAGAGTGGGCCACTCCCACGCAGAGTCGATGTACTCCGCAACAACATCAGAAGAAAAGTGCTTAATTGGTACATCATTAGTGCCATATTCGGCCATCATGCGACCTTCAGCAAAAGCAGCAATTACTCCACCAGCACTGACGAGAGAGGGTGAAACAAATGAATCCCTCCCACTTGAGCCAGTCCCCTTCTTCGGCAGCACCTGCGTCGTCTGCGGCACAAACAGATCGACCCATTGCAGCTCCTGAACACCTCTTAAATCACTGTTGCCATCATTCTCCTTTGCAGGCGTAGCTCTACAGGTGGCGCAGCACATCGTCGTGACGAGGAGCAGCAGAATCACAAAATTAAACAAATGCCGGGACATGTTGGGCCTCTTCGGCTCACTCTCTCTTCCTTCCCTCCTCCTTCCGCGGGATCCGGTCACGCGGCGACGGTTGTGTGTGCGGGGTGCCTTGACAGCAGCAACACGTGAGAGCATATAAATATGTGTGTGTGTGCGGTGTGTGTGCTGTTGGTCCTTTCAAAGCCTCTGAATTTCACAGTAGCGTTTAGCGTTTGTTTGCTTTCTTTCCTAGCGTTTCTGTGTTCAAGAGGTAGAGGGAAAAGGGAAAACAAGCCAAGTAAAGAGGTGAGACAGCGAGCACCGCCACTCCGCACCGGCCATCGCGGGCGTCACGGCGGGCCGTCGGTGTGTGCGGGCCAGCCCTCAAGCGATGCAACACGCCTCACACCCAACAGGGAATGACAGACGGAGAGACAGTGAGAAATGAATGGATGCCGTCAAGAGGCACTCACGATCAACATGGCCCGGTAAGCATGCGGCCACTCCACGCAGGAACACAGGAAAAGAGAGTGAGAGGGGGAAAAAGCAAAAAGCAGCACAAACACACACAAAAGAAACAAACACTAGGCGAGAAAAGCACCGCCACGGTCATCGCCCTGGCCGGCAACTCCACACCAGCCCTCACACACACATACCATTGCAGCGCTGCCAGTCCGCGGGTGAGAAGATTCGGCCCTCCACACAGCAAACGCACACACCGCCAGCAATCAGCCACCAATGGACGAGGAAGAGAAGGGACACACCGCCACCGCCTCCAAGCTCCATCCCACGGCCAACGGCATACGGCCACAGCCCGCTGCCGGCACACAACGCACACGGAGCGAGCAATCACCCAAAGAGCCACACGCAGAAGCGATTCCTCATCCATCCATGACACGGCGTCTCACTCCATGCGGTCACACGGAGTGCACTGATTCCTCAATAGAACTTATCCTTCGTCCATCCCGCTAAGATGCTTCTGTTAGTGATGAGCCTTAGAACACAATAGAAGAAAATGGACAATGCAGTAGTATTGCGACACCGCCAGCCACAATGATTCCCTCATACCGGGCAATTCTCCAATTACGCCTCGTGCACACACAATCAACATACTATATAGAAATCACCCAATGTTTTTTCACCAGAAACCAAACAACCCCACTACCTCCCTAATTTCTTCTGTCACTGTTATGTTCGATAGCGTTGGACTGTTCTGAAATCTGTGCGATATACTGCCGTCTGCTGCTGGTGCACCCGCACCGTATGCACACAAAAGTATCCAAAAATATATAACTCCCACAATATTTTTAACACAAATCAAAACTACCCCTTTAATCCCCAATTTGTTTTACTATTTCTACGGTTCTTCCACACTTCGGAGTGCTTCGTCCCCTCAAAAGTCTCCGGATGATACTGCTGTTATGTAGTGGCGCACCTCTTCCTCCAGAACGCCGCAATCTCACGGTTTTCAGCGCGGCTCACATTATTGCAATTGACGACATCACATCTCTGCCAGTCATTCATCGGTGTGCTGTCTGCGTGCTGCACATTAATAATCTCCCACGACATGTCTTGGGATAATTCCTCCCAACCATCAAAATACGCCGCCAGGCACTCAGTGAACTGCCTCACAGTGCTGGGTATGGTGTGATGCGCACTCGCCGTAGCCATCCGCAGCCCAACCAGCGTCTTCGGATTTGAGTCCACAAAGAAAAAGTCGTCCACCAGTGGAAAGTTTTGGACTTTCGGCTCATACAGCACCCAGTGGTCCATAGCAGCCGGATTGGAAAGACGTTCCGGTGGCGGTAGAACCTCTTTTCTGGTGAAGCTCGTGTCTGAGTGCTCTTTCAGCGCACAGCTGTGTGGCTCACGTCGTCCTGGTGGCCTCAGTTCCTTGATTTTAAGTCTTATCGCTCGCAGGAAATCCTCATTCAAAAATGCGGATACGGCATACTTTTCAATAATATATGGTGGGACATAATCCCAGAACCTCAAAACGAAAAAAATAAAATCGGACTGCTTCATTTCATCCTCCAACCTGGACAAAGTTTCACGTTCGAGGTGGGGAGATACCAGCAAATTCAGAGGCGATTCAATGTTGTTTCCTCGTCGTACTCGGACAACCTTCACAAGCTTTCGAGACAAGTCATTGTCATTACACGAATAACAGCAGCCAATACCCAAATTACGCTCTAATTCCGAAGCGGTCGACCCATCCACGGCCTGCTGAGACGCTTTAATGCGGTCATCATATGCCTGTTTATCAAAGATGGAGCGGAGAATTGGTCCCACGTTATTCATGCGACCTCTCACCTCCTTCCAGTATTCCGCTTGCTCCTGCAGGGGTCGATTGCGCTTCATCCAAATGCACATTGCCCTCACATCGTTTTCTTCGGGACAATTCGTTACGATTGCACTAGCGTCAAATTTTTTTGTCCACCGTTCATATTCGCTTTTTTCTGGTGGTGTCACCACAATCATGTCCCATCCCTTGCAAGGCAAACCAGCAGGCGGTTGACGACATGCCAATGTCGCATCGTAGATACAAAACCCTTTAACCCCACACAAAAAAAAAATGCTTACAAAATCATCAATCCTGGGGTTATCCTTGTATGTTGATACCGTTTTGGTGGTCTTGTCAAATAGGAATGATTGACTCCCAATAACGTACGCAACCATTGGGAGCTGCTCCGCATCGTAGTGCAGCAGCTGGTAGAGGAGGTACGAGCCGGCATTCACCGACTTCCCGATCCCGGGCGTCCCAATCAACAGACGCTGCTTGGGCGTAAAGTAGGTCCCACGGTGAGGACTGAACCATTCGGTTAGATCATTCCTGACGATCCGCCACACTCGCTCCACCTCACAGTTCACGTAGCAGTCACGAGTGGATTCATCCTCCTTCCACGAGTACGGCCATCCCTTGTCCGAGGTGAGCACCATCAACACGGGAGGTGCTTCACCGGACTGCTCCAAACTGTCATCCTTTTCGAGGGTGTTGCCAACTGCCGTGTACTTCCATGACTGCGGTGGTTTCCCCTCCCTCACTTCCATTCCTATCCCCGTTTGCGTCCCCTCGCCGCCAGGAACTTCCACCAAATGATGCCAACTCGCATTGTACACAGACTCGTACAATCCCTCCAGTTTCTCCGGTGCGCCCGTCGTCGTTGGGTTCCTCGCCTCCTCAAGGGCTGCATCCAAAGCATCTTTAGTGATGTTATGAACATTTGCTTTTATCTCTGCAGTAGCTTCTGACCACCCAAGTAGATTCTTGACACCCTTATCGCAAAGCTTACTTCGATCTTTTTCGAAGATCGCTTCATCCCTTACAGCCCTCTGCATACTCAAATAACGATCGGATGCCTGTATTTCTTTCAATGCTCCTTTATCACGGATATATTTCTTGGGATCCTTGAAAAACTCCTTCAGCAAAACACTCCGATTTTTGTCCACAACGCCCCTGCCATCCAATTCCCTCGTAAGAAAGTCGTTCAGCTTCTTTTCATTGACGCGAACTCTTCCTTTAAACAGTACATCTTCGATCGTAGTGGAAATGATAAATTTCATTTCTTGCGTTCGTCTTTGCCTTTCCTCTGCCTCACGCCTCGCTTCTGTCTGTACCTGAGTAAGAACTCTGTTTAGTTTTGCCTTTGGAAAAGGAGTGATTGTATCCTTTCCTTCATAGTCCCTCCATTGTTCAAGCGAGACAACACCCTCGTCATGAATTTTAGTAATAGCCTCCAATAGTATTTTCCTCTCTTTCAAGCTCTCTGTATGACGGCAATGCCTTTATTGTGCGTAATAAACTTTCGTTTTGGATAAATGTCTCGGGATCCTGAACAAAATTCCCCATAGCGACGTTCCCATTTCTTTCCACAACCCACTCATCGCCCAAGTTGCTCCGAAGGAAATCGTTCAGCTTCATGTCGGTGCTGAGAGTTTCTCCCTCCAGCAGAATGTCCTCTACGCTGCTGCTCATAGTCCACTGCGGTCGCCTAATTCCTCCACTCCTCTGCGAGTTGCAGCGTCGGAAGCATCACCGGAGCCGCCGCTTCGAAACGCCATCACAACACCCGTGTGGTGAAGCATCCCACTCGCACCGCCCAACTGCGGCCAGCAGGTGCCGCTGGCTCCAAAGGACACTCGCGGCTTTTTCCTCCCGCTGTCCCAGTGGCGTTGGGCGTGGCACTCGCACGGCGGGGCTGTCGGTGCGCCATGCAGCCGCACTGCAACGCCTGTCGGTGAAACAGCCAAGGCCCACCGCCTCCGCAGCAACGCAAGGTGCAACCGGCCACAACACCGCCACATTATCGCCCTTTTTTTTTTTTTTATTCACGTTGTCTGTTTGTTTGCCCTATCACTAACACCAAAAATATGTGCACACCTTCACAGAGGAAAGAATCTTCTGGGCCGCCGGCCGGATCCTGTAATTACCCAAAAAGAAAAAAGGGAAAAAAAGCGGTTAATGGAGAGGTAGTGAGTTCTCGGTAATGTTTGCCCCAATGTGTCTATGTATACACATTCTGCTAATCACTGGCGTGGAATTCTGCACATAGTTAGAATTAGAAACACTTATCCCCTGCGAAGTGGCAGGCCTTTGGGGATCCTCCGCCCGCAAGGTGGGGATCACAAAGTGGGTGGTTGTGAAGATAAAAAATAAAAAATGAAAAAAACAATAATTTCGTCTGGCAGCTGTCGGCTCCCTGACTCCCTCAATCGCGGTCTCCCAAAAGACAGTGCGATAGAAGAGAAAAAAGTTGTGAAGAGATATCTTCGTTTGCGCGAGATATAAATTTATTTGGGCAGCCTGCCATCCTCTCAAGCATTCTTTTCACAAAATCCCATGAAAATAAAGAAAAATTATGCGGCCCCTATAGTGCGCAACAGCCTCCAGTGACGATGCGCCTCTGGTGAAAAAAATAAAATAAAATGAAAAAAGGGTGTGGTGAGTGTGGCACTGCTGATCACAACGGTTCTCTGAAAAGAAAGGCATTCACTGTCTAGACCTCGTAGGCACACACATATGAAAATCGTTAAAATACTTCCTAATATATTTCACCAAGACAAAATGCACTTTGATACTACTTTTTTTTTTCAATTTTCTTGCCTTTTTCATCCCCCTCAGGTAGACCATCATGAGGAAATTTGATTTCCTCAGGAAATTTACCTTTTAACATAACCTGGTATTGGTGTACCTTTCCGTCCCAGAACGCCACAATCTTTTTTTCCGCGTCGGTTTTATTCCTGGAATTGACGTAATCGCATCTCTGCCATTTTTTCATCGGCTTGCTGTCTGCGTGTTGTATATAAATAATATCCCACGACATGTCTCGGGAGAATTTCTTCCAACCTTTAAAAAAAACCGCCAGGTGCTCAGTGAACTGCCGCACGGTGCTGGTTTTCGTGTGATGCGCACTCGCCGTCGTCATCTGCAGCCCAACCAGCGTCTTCCGCGGTGAATTCAAAAAGAAAAAGCCGTCCACCAGCGGAAAGGTTGGGATCGTCGGTATGTACAGCACCCGATACTTTAATTTTTGCGGGCGATCAATGAACTTCAGTTCAGTTATTGCAGCTACGTCGGTGGGGTAACCATGAGGGTTTAACGTTAGCACCGAGGACCGTGGTTCGGAAAGTGATGGTGGCTTCAGCTCCTTGAGATCCTTCACTATGGAAGTGACAAACTCCACACTCAAGAATACGTTCAAAGAATACTTTTCCAAAGCTTCAGATTGAAGAACATTCTTCATCCCCAATACGAGGAAAAGAATATCATGCGGACTCAGCACCTTTGCCAAACGAGATAATGTTAAAACCCCAAGATAAGTACATATAGGTGCATTAGTGAAGTCCTCAAATGGGCCATCTTTTCTTACTCGGACAATCTTCACAAGTTTGTGAGACGGATCCTCGGAATACCAATTTTTCTCTCCTCCCTGTGTAAAGTACTTTCCTTGATCCCCAATATTGATCCATTCCAAGGCCCTCATAACATCTTGCGTGCGTTTTCCATATTCATTCTCATCAAAGATGTGACGTGGAATCGGCCCCACTTTTTCCATGTGTTCTTTAACCTCCTTCCAGTATTCCGCTTGTTTATCTGGTTTCACACCTCGCTTCATCCATGCACACATCGCCTTCACATCCATCTCGTCGGGGCAATTCATGATGATTCGACTGGCTTTTGCTTGCTTCTCCCACTCATCATAGTTGGTTACCTTTGGCGATGACACCACAATCATGCCCCATCCGGTAGAGGGCGCAAAATGTCTAAGTGGTGGCGTTCCTTTCTTTGCCACATCGTAAATAATATACCCTTTCATCCCACGCTTCCTCAAACTTCTCAAGGCCGTGATGCATTGGTCCTCATCGCTGTATCTTGTCACGATTTTGGTGGTCTTGTCAAACACGTAAGCATCACGTCCACCAAAACAGTGGACAACCACTTGGAGTTTCTTGATATCGCAGTGCAGCAG